TGGCAAACAACTCCCATACAATTTTAAGTATGCAAGCATCCAACCCTCATGGGGATAAAGGCTGAGATCAGGAGGAAACTGCCCTAGTAAGTGTAAGAGGCTGAACAAGTTCATTAATTTTATGCAGCATAGAAATCCAGAGTCAACAGTAATTTTAACAATAATAAAAGCAGATGCAATCTTTGTATCAAGGCAACATTCTTTTCACTCCAAATTTCCTCACAAGAGCACTTATGGATAGGCAGGTAGAGTTCTTACTGCAGTATATCTTTCCTACCCTTTTGTCATACTCCAGAGATCTGCAGTCATATGTTTTCCTTGGAATGTACTTACTCAGGCAGACTATGTTTCTCTCCAGGAGAAGCATAAAATAATATTTCTTCAGAGTTCTTCTGTGAATCCTTTATCTTCAGCTGCCTGTGTGTTCAGTCTCCACTTCCATTGCTACACAGTACCTTTGTCTATGAGCTTGGAAGGGAAGTGCTAAGTCTGCACATATGATGGGGCAATTACGGATTAGCTATTACAGAGCAAACCAAAATATCCACTGAAAAAAACATCTCAGTGAGATTACCTTACCTTCAGGCAAGTTCTAGACATTAAACCCAAGGTTCATGCCACTTTCACTTATGCACAAGTAAAGATCACCCAAGGCTCCCTGTATAGTCAGTGAAGACAAATGAGACACTCCAACTCAAACTGGAGACAGAATAAGTCTCCTCTGGAAGATAAGGCTGTATTTTCCCTGACTGCAGGCAGACCCTACTGTGACTATGCTGAACAGTGACATATTACCCCTCTGTTTCCCCAAACAATTCCCGTATTTCTATTAACAGCTGCAACCTTCATTCCTTATCTAGTTAACAGGTGGAAAAACACACTTTATTCCTTAATAGCATAGTTACTTGTCAGGTACTGTTTTACATACAAGGTGTGCTAGAACCCATCACCAGTGGCCAGGACAGCCACAGAGTGTGTTGCTGATCATGAGGTAAACTTGTTGGTTTGTGGTGCTTTGGCTGTAGGATGAATTAGTTTTGCTCCCTGGTAGGTGGGCTCTAACGTCATGCAATTTTGGTTGGTTTCTAGCACTCTATGCTTTTGTCTCCTCTGGCATTACTTAAAAGTTAATTTTAGAAAATCATTGCCAACCACCATAAGAGGTATTTGTGTAAATTTTATTTGCTGGAGGAGGTGAAAAAACCTTGCAGTGGCCCATGTTTAATAATTCTTCCCTGCTGGGGTAACAGGAGCATGACAAGGTTCTTTGCCTTGAACAAGCCTATCAGGAAAAGTTTTGCAAGGCTGTTGTAAACCTTTTGGTTAACATTAAGCTTAGAGAAAGCAATTTCTGTAAAGCCTACAGTTTGGTGTTCAAATACAGGGAAACGGACCTTTTAGGAGATTTGCATGTAATCATTTGCAGATAACCCCATACTTTATGTTGGGTGTTTTGGATCAGATAGAGCATTAGAGTCAGACTGAGAGAGGCCACTTCATGGGCAGCTCATCAGACTGCCCACTAATTACATTATTCTTTTACAAGTTGGATTTGAGTAAAGCTGCAGAAGCTTTTGTAATGCTGATCCACAATTAGGGGCTTGCATTCTTCTTAAAACTTTAGATGATGTGAATTACTTGCATAAATATTTCACAAGGCATGATATAAATATTCTGTGGTGATTAGGATTGTTTATACTGTCTCTATCAGGAGAAAGTCTTTCTTTCTTGATCCTTATTTCTTTGATTTTGAAAGAGATACAAGAAATCTCCCACATACTTGGAAATTACATTACCTGTTTGTGCTTTTAAATAACAGCACGATTTCAGCCTTGGAGATGGATGTTGTAGAAAATCGTGTAGCTAATTTACACAATCTGTTTCTACTGTTGTGCCTACAAATGAGCAAGCTGAGTATCCGGCTCGGGCAATTGCCCGTGTAATTTTCTGAAAATCTGCCGTATTATTTTCTTCTGTTGGCAAAAAATTATAAGTGCGGCTGTGCTGCTCCAGAGCACCCCAAGCCCCTGAGGAACTGCATTTCAGAAGGGAACAATTTCCTCACTGCTCCTCTCCATCTTGCTCAATGGATAATTGTTTTCTGCTGTTTTGGGTCAGGTTAGTAACCTCAGGAGCTGGGGGAAAGGAGATCTGAGGTCTGCGCTGTTTCTTGTCCCTTTCTACCTTCTGCTTCATTTGGGAATAATTGGATAAGGCCCAAATGCTCAGTCCATGATCTGTGCTGGGACAGAGGCAGATAACAGGCATTCAGCCAATGTGCTTTTATATATCCCAGCATCGCATCATTCCTTACAGAGCTACTGCCGTTCTAGATGTTTTCCACCCAAAGCAGGGCCTGCTCAAGGGCTGCCCTTGACAGAATGTTCACGAGTCTCTGCAAACAGTGACTTTGTGAACTGCCTTGATAGGAAATGCACTATCCTAGTAAATGGAGAAAGAAAAACATTGCCTAACTTCACAGCATAGGGGAGGAAAAAAACACATTGTGGAAGAGTAGCATAAATCACTCACAAGGCAGGTGAAGTCCATGTAACATGTGTTCTTCATAGTCCACTTCAGCCCAGGTGAATTTATTCAGTCCTTCTTAACCTCACATGGCCCTTTTTTCCCCAATATGCCAGTTTTCATACAGGGCATATGATTATTTCTCATTTTCAAAGCACAACTACTCATTTCTTAATTTTGGTGACGTGGCAGCTGCCCAGGTTTTTCCTGTTAAGATGATATTCATTTGTCCCCTTTGTTTCATTCATTTTTCCCTCTGGCTTTATAACTATAAATCAAAACCACAAAATTAAATTAAATAAAATAAACATAAGTGCAGGTGGAAATTCAAGACATATAAATAACTAAGAGTAGTTTTCTAAGACTGCTTTTTTAATCAATTCTAAACACAAGATATATATTCCCTGTTGAACTAAGAATGTTGTGACCACCTATTGTTAAAGAGCAGTAATAAATCTGTGCAACAATTCCTTACTCCTATGATTCACTGACACGTTTTTCCAGATAACTAGTTCAGCTTGCTTTTTTTCCAGGGGTGTGTATTTTGCTGTCCACTGGAAAGGCTTGATATGCTGCCATGAGCAAGGCATGGATGCTCTTTGTCCCTTAGGAAAATTCTTTCTTTCTCCACCTCTGAGGGAGTGGATGCTAAACCAGTGTTCTAGCATATGACAACCAGGGCTCATCTTCATTTACATTCCCCTTCACCTTGAAAAGAAAAATGGCAGATATTCTCCCACTCCCCTCCTCAATCCAGCAGGATCTCTGATGCCCTGAAATACTAGTGGAGCAAATTACTGCCTTTTATATTCTGCAGGGAACCGAACACTGCTGTGCAGGCAGGGCACTGCCCTTTCCACCTCATCCCGTGTGTCAGCAATCCACAGATGTCCTGGTGCCCACTGTGCTTGCCACTTTGCAAATACAGCTCTCACACAAGATCTCAGCTCTACAGGACCGCTTCATGTTTGTGGGGTTTTAAGCAGTCAGATATGGTATGAGATGAAACTGCCTGAGTTTTAGACTAATTTATTAATTTATTTCTTTTATCAGACAGAGGTACTTAAGCATTGTTTAGGCAGGTCATGGTTTTCTCCAGCACAAGGCTTGCTACAGTTTTAATATTGATCAATAAGATTTTGTTTCGATGTCAATAAAAATCACTCAAAACTCCTGTGCAAAGTGAGGGGAAGACATAAAAAAAACTTCATTTGTTTACACTCTCTTTCCTTTGACAGGATAATACACCCAGCCAGCACACTACAGAATACATTCTGCTATCATTTACACAGCCTTCACGTGAACCCACAGCGCACAGCCATGTTTTAAAGGCCAGAGCTATATTGAGATGTCTTTTGTTTGTAATGGTGCTTACCAACATTGGTGCCACAGTATCATCCTAGAAACTTTCCTATTTTGAGGTAGTACAAAGGCTAGGCATTGTCAGTGATATGACAATGCAAAAGTTCTTATGCAAGAACTACTGCAGTTGTTGAACTGAGGAAATCACAATGACAGTACTTCTGCCCACACCCGTCGTTCCTTTCTGGTGGGAATTTTGCTAATTTAAAATACTTTGAATGTCACAAACAGCCTTTTAGACTATTTCAGTGGCTAGAGATACAGTGTGCAAGAAATGACAGAATTTTGAGTCAAATTGTTACACATCTCTGTGCTTCAGTTTCCTTATCTGTCAAAAGTGTAAGTCTGCTTCCTAGAAAATCTAATTCATAGAATCATAGAATGATTTGGGTTGGAAGGGACTTTAAAGATCATCTAGTTTCAATGCCCCACAGGGTGACCTTCCACTAGACCAGGTTGCTCAAAGCCCCATCCAACCTCGCCTTGACTATGTCCAGGGATGGGGCAGTCACAGCTTCTCTGAGAAACCAGTGCCAATGCCTCACCACCCACACAGCAAAGAATTTCTTCCCAGTATCCAATCTAAATTGCTCCCCTTTAGTTTAAGACTGTTCCCTCTTGTCCTATCACTATCTGCTTGTGTAAAAAGTCGTCATCCCTCTTTTCTAAAAGTCTCCTTTAAGGACTGGAAGGCTGCTAGAAAGTCTCTGCAGAGCCTTCTCCCTGCTTAACAGCCAGAACTCTCTCAGCCGGTCTTTATAGGAGAAGTGTTCCAGCCCTCTGACCATTGTAGAAGCCAATCTGACAACAGATCCCAACAGATCTGAAACAGTATTTCAAAGTTTACATACCCATTGCTTGTAAAGCCCTTAAAGGTTCTTGAATGAAGCTTGATGGAAGTTATTAGGGGAAAAAAGCTGATATTACTGATTTATTTATTGCAGATAGTACCATTCTGTGTATATTGAATGCTATTAAATCCTGTTGCTTTGTCATTTCAGTTCTGTGAAAAGTCAGCGTTTGTATATCTACTCTTTTTCACCTCTTTGGGAACAAATTATAAACATATGAGTATAATCCACTGAATATAGTCCATGAAACAATTTACTGACCTTCTTTAAAAGTATCTCCTTGAATGTTCTGTATTTTTGGCAGCTCTTCTATTCACACTGGCATGAATACACCCGTTTTAAATCAGCTCTTGATCTCTGAAGGCCAAATCCTGTGAGAGACAGAGCAATTCTAGCAATTCTGAAATATTACGGCCAAATGTGCACTATAAAATGAAGGCATGTTTACTGTTTGTCTTACTTTCCCCTAACTGTTTAGGATCTGCTCTGGTTGTCTCTTCCCTATATTTAAAGCAGATACCTGAATATTGCATAATGCCTTGGTTAAGCTGGGAAACAGATTCTTTGTACTAACCTATTTCTAAAGTTTGTGTTTCCTAAGTACTTTCATAAATTACAGAGACTGCACCATATCTTCCCCTGATCTTTTTTTTAATTTTAGTCTGAAGTACTGGCACATAGATAAAATAGAAGGTTCTGTTCTGTTTTCCTCTAAATATGTGCAAGCAACATACAGTCATACAGTGACATACAATGTCTATTATTCCTGCCTCAAGTCCAAAGAACATAGTTTTGACTGTTCACTGCAAGCAGATATATAAGATTGTTACAAATTGATGCCAAGGGGCCCATACTTGGAATCTGTTTTGTTTTTCTTTGAGTTAGCTTCCAAACTGCAAGACTCTGCATAATGAATGTGTTATCTAGTCCTTCTGTTTTTTATTTTTGAAGGAGAAACAGCACATACTGCAAAGAAACTTTTTCTACTTGCTCAGGTTCCATAGCAACACAGTGTTGCTTTGAATTTATTTTGTACTAATCAATTAGAAATTTTGCTCTGGCAGCTGGAATGAAAGTTTACAGGCCAAATCCTGCTTGTTTTACTTGGGCCTGCAGTTGCAGTAAATCCAATGAAATTCTTGTCTGAGAAGGATACAAACTTGTAGCTTTCATCTCTCTCTCAGTTTAATTTTTGTGAAAAGGTCAGATTTAATTCTTGGTTTTCTGCCCAAGTATGAAAAAAAAGGAGGCAATTCTCTTAAAGGATCCACAACTTAACACATGCTTACAAACAGAGTTGTTGAATTGTTAAAAAGGGAGGTATCCTTTGCTTCCCTTCCATTTTTATTGGTTGTTGTCAGCAGAGCTGATTAGCGCTCATCTTTCATCCGGCAGCTGGTAAAATCTCCTGTTGTATCCACCCCATCGTTTGTGGCAAAAGGGAATCTTCCAGGGAGCACAATGGTATGCACCAGTGCTCTTCAGAGCAGCACAGCCCTCAGTAACATGGTTAGTATGCAGAATTCCTAGGGAACCTTCCCTTGTAAAGGTCAGCTCATTCCCTGCTGGAAGTGCATGTAATGACCGTGAAAACCCACGAGATCTTCTTGTGTGCACTCTGCAGTGGTGCAGTTGGTTAAAATCCAAAGCTGTAATTGAAGAGGTTTTGGTTATGTTTTTATTCATATTTATTTTTCTTTTATCGTTGCCAAAACTGTAATACTGGGAAACTGGGAAAGCTCATACCAAAAAAAAAACCCAACAACCTGCAACCATGTGGAAATGGCAGAAACTTTCTGATGTGGATTGACAAAAGCTGACATTTGGCTTTTAGGGTTACAATTCCAAATTCAGCTCATTCTGCTCCTGCTCTTTTATGTTTGAACTAGAGAATTCATGTATAGTTATGCCAAGCATGCTGCCTGAACAAAACACAGGGAGAGCATTGGGCCTCTACTGTAATTTACCACACTTTTTTTTTTTTTTTTTTTTTTGTCGGGTAGTCACACCATGAACCTCCTTTTAATGCATTTTTACTGATCTTTGCATAAATGAGTCAGAGGACTGAAACAATTTTTTAAATCTAGTCTGTTTTTCTTAATGGCTAGAAAAATGTGCTTCCTCTTACAAAGTACACTGAAAAACTGTATGGATGCATAGGAAGGCGCTGATTTAACACTTTCTTTCTATTTCACTCATCATCACACTAGAATTCAGTCTCTGACTACACAGGATTAGAAATACATGTCACCCCGTTTTGTAATGAAAGCATAGCAAATCAAAGTCCTGATTTAAACTTTGTTACATGTCAGGGCTCATCAAATCTCTATTGCAACAAAGAGGATGACGCAGAGCAGACTTTGCTCTTTCAAGAGAAGATCAGAGTTAGAGCTGGATCTCAGTTTGCATGTCAGGGACTGTAACAGGGAAAGCAGTGCTCATCCACTTGCACGTGCTCCCTTTTTTCCCTGTCGCTCTCCAGTTTTTACCTGTAGTTAGCACAATGGGAAGATTACAGCCTTGGCACCATAAAAAGGGTCAGGGAGTGTGAAGTGGGCTGCAGATTCCCTAAAAGCTGCATTCCTAAAGCAGGAACCTCTCTGTCTGGAGACTTGTCAGAAGGAAGGAGATCCAGACGACTCCACTGTTGATCATAACAAAACACACAGGGCTCACAATTTCAGCCCTTGGTCTGCATGCTGCACATGAGGCAGTGTAGGCTCTCCACCAAGTCTGGCTTTTCTCCTTTGGGTGATAAGTCTCTCTAAGTACATATAGGTATAGTCTTATATTCTCCCTGGTTCTCAGGCTTTGCCTCTGATGCCAAAATTTCTTCTCTGATTATAATTAGCAATTTATAAGATCAGCATATGTCAAGGAGGTGACATCCAAGGGCTTACGATGAGAAAAACTGATGACCGAGGTAGAACCAGAAGCAGAACCAGCTTTGGGGGATTTAAATGTTAAACCCACTTGATTGTTTTGGGTTTGTGTCCTTCTCTAAAGTGTTCATGTTATGTTTAGTAAGAAATATTGTACAACTATGTAGTGTGCCATGTTATGTTAAAAATGTTTTTTTTAGAAACAGATTTTTTGTTTAAGTTTGCTGGTTTTCTTCTGCTGACTGTTCTTTTATTTTGACGGGTTTTGCATGATAACATTTCAGTATTTGGGAAAATGCGGGAGATTAATCATTATGACTTTCAGCAAGGGGAAAAGCCCATGTTTAAATGCATTGTCCTGTATTATATGTCTGTGTTCATATTCCCCCTGTTTTTATTGATGTACCGCACATATCTGACCTCCACGTTTGCCTGATGGATTTTTCACCAGTTTGGTGAAAAACTGACTTCCCAGTTTTGTTTAAAAATCTGATTGGAATAAGACCCTGATAACCATTAATTGCTTACAGTATGCTTTTCCAATTGGATGTACTTAACCTACATGTACCTGATTGAATTTCCTTGCAGTCAGTAGTTCTTCTTCAGTCAGGCACAGCTCTATGTAAAGTATAATCTTATAACCTGATTTGCTGTGTTTTTCATCATTTAATCAATCAAATGATGCCGCTCTGAGCTATGCTTCTGCCCTGTATCAGTGTGGTGGTTTGCTAATGTGCTTCTACACTACACAGCAATACACAGACCTGTCCTCCACCTCCTGCCTGTGTGATGGAGGTCTTAGGCTGTTTGCTCTATAAGCTCGATAAAAGAATGGTTAAACCAATCCCTAAAAGGACCCTACACTTTTCACATGGAATCTGAAATAATTTACCTCGTTGGGCGAGGGTTTCCCTTTAGTACGATGCAGCCCGGCTTCAACACCTGGCCTCACTGACAGTGAGAGCCCATGTCATGGCACAAAGTGTCTCACACACCAGGGGCTCTCTGCAACTCCAAAACCTTAAAAAGACCCAGCAAACCAAAACAATAACAACAACAACACAAACAAACAAACGGAAACCAAAACAAAAAACTAACAAACCAAAACAACCAACCAACCAACCAAACAAAAACCCCTGATGGATACAACTTTTAAAGTGTGGATAGGAGTTTTAAGCTCCAGCCCGGGGGGCAGCAGATGATGTGGTCAGGTACGTGCAGTCGGCCGCCCCTCAGGTAGGGCTGCCCCGCTGGGGCAGGCGTGCGGGGGTATTCTTTGTCATTTGTGGGTTTTTTTTCGGGGGGGAATTGGGGGGGGGGCGGGCCTTCCCTCGTGCCCCGGCCTCGACTTTATTGTCTCTCTGTTCCGTGTTTTTGCCGTGTTGTTTGGTTCAAATTTATTTCTTTCTTGTGTTTCTCCCCCTCCCCCTCCTCTGTGTGTGTGTGTGTTGTCTGTGGCCCGCAGTCCCCCCTGCCCTTTCGTACCGCCTCCCTCCACCCCGCTCGCAGTCACCCTCCCCTCTCCTCGCCGCCGGCAAATGAGGGCCGACGGCGGTCGCTGGGCGACGGCGCGGCCCGGGCGGCCGCGGGCTCGGACTCTGAGGAAGAGTTCGTCCCTCAGTCATTCTTAGTTCAAAGTGGCTCTGGAAACCTCTGTGTCGCCGCCAACGGTGAGTGACTCTCTCTCTCTCTCTCTCATTCTCTCTGCCTACTTTTCCGTGCCTGTCTTGACGGCCGTGCGCGGGGATGTAGGTTGGTTGTGGGAGCGGGTGTGCTCTCTGGGTTGGTTTGTTTCGGGGGGGTGCTGTTTAAAACAATTAAATAATTTGGGGAGGGGGGCTAAAAATCGCCTCGTAAAGGTTGAAAGATGCAGCACTGGGGGGAAGGTCGGTGCTGCTGCGTGGGTGTTGCTGGTGTTGCGAAGAGGGACGCGCCAGCCCATGTGGTACCTGGGCAGCACTCAGAAACTTTGCCTGAGTTGAAGGTTGGACCCCGGTCCCTTTTGATGGTGTGAAATTTTGGGGTTGTTTGCCTTTTTTGTTTTATTAACTCCTGCCCGAAAGACTCGCCAAAGAGCCCCCCTTCTCAGTGAGGGCGGCAAGGTGCAGCCTGGGGGCTGAGGGAACCTGTCAAGAACCTGTCACCCAAGGGCTGCGTGGATGGGAAAGGGAATGGCAAAAATGCAGAGTTCCCTTGAAAGTTGTGACAGTGTTATCAGCACCGTGTACGGATGGTGGCCTCTTCAGAGGCCAGTGGAAGGTGTCTGTGTTCAGTCTCTCTCAGAGGCGCTGAGGGATGCCCTCGGGGTAAGTATTCGAGGCAGCAGCACAACCCCATCCTACTGGGATGCTCTGAGACTCCCCGGTGCTCAGCCCCTGCCGAATGGTCCATGCTGCTTAAACAAATTACAAGGAGAGGAATGAGATTCACAGCTCTCTGCTGCAAAGACAATGAGTCATAAACGGAGAGGTAACCCTCATTGGCAAAGAAATGTGAAATTTCATCAAGGGTAGTGTAACCTGACAAAGTGCAGATTACAGCAGTGGAATAGCAGTGGCCACTCAGGCTGCTGCCATCCGGCTGGAGTGATAATTGCTCAAAGGTCTGATTTATGATGAAGGCGAAGGCATTCAAAGATATCTTGAAAGAGAGAAAGAAAGGTGAGAGAGAGGTTTACTGCAGCTGGCAACAGCTTAACTGCATTTATGTTAAGCTTCTAAGAAGGTTTCCTAGTATGCTGTTATCTCCAAGTAAGGAGAGAAAGTTTGACATTTAATTTGTCCGCCCCCCCTTCCCTTTCCCAGCTTCCCTCTTCTTTTGTTGCATTTGTTATGGTAAAAACAAACTTTCCCTTCAGAGTTTTTCAAAGGAGAAGGTTATCTCCTCTGAATTGTCATCCTGAGGAGAGTAGGGGGAAATACAGTGTCGTATTCATTCAGGAAACTGATTAAAATTCATATCCTCAGTTCAGCTTCCCCCCTCCCCTCCCACCCTATAACATAGACATGCATCTGACTCCTTGCAGTCGCAGTACATGGAAATGTGAAATCATGTAGATGACCCTCTTGTTGGAAATAAAGCCAAGCTCACATTCCACGTCGTGTTTTCCACATCTTAATGTATGTACTTCCTCTTTGTTCATTTAGGAAATACGTATGTACACATACATGCACATGCTCCAGGTAAAAAGAGGGAAGAAAGAGAAAGCAAGTGAGATTAAAGACTTTAATCTCTTCTTTTACTAATTAGCTGAAGAACAGAAAAAGCATTGTTCAGAGGCCACAGTGGGTTGATGACATTATTGTATTATTGATGTGCTGGTGAGTTAGTTAGACTTCAGGCTTTTCAGCTGCCTGCTTATTTATCCTCTTTTTTTTTTTTTTCTCAGTGCTTTCTGCATTGGCTTGTAGACACACTACATTCCCTGAGGCTTTCTTTGTGTGTAGGATTCAGCAAGTTGCTTATAAATATGTCCCACACAAAGACAGGGCATCTGGGGTCTCATTTGCCTGCTTATTCTAGTTGTTCTGTAATCAGAAGTGCAGGTAATGCCAGCACAGTGGTGACCTGTTAGGATCAGCTCAGCTAAACTCTGCTGACAAGAGGAAAACAAAGGTGACTTATTTTGCCACCTAACAAACGATAATCTGAGAGTTCACGTGAATAAGAAGCACAGACCATACAAGCCCATCATGTCTAAAACCTAGAGACTCTTCTGACCTCTGTAAATGGAATTAATTGCTTTAGTTCCTTACCTTTCTGTTTCTATGAGGCTTAGTCAGCTTAAAGTTTAAATGACAAAGGCAGGTCTTTATGTTCCTTAAATGGTGAAAATTAGTAAAAGCTTATTTTGGTTAGGACTAAGTTTAATACAGTTAGAGTACTCATTCTTGGAAAATAGTAGCTGTCTCAACAGCAGGACAGCCTGAGAATGCTGTCCAAAGGATTTGTGTTGCACTTTTTAATTGATTGTGGCTAGGTTTTCCTTCCACAGCTGTGTAAACTCACCCTTAGAGAAGTCCATCCAAAGTAAGTAACACCCAGGGAGCAGCACTGCTGTTACAAATCCCCATGTAAATTGCAAATATAATGCACACGGAACTTAAGAAACGTGCTACTTTTTGAAGATACAGTAGGCTATTCTTTATCTAAGTTTTTTTCATTCCAGAAAGGTAATATTGTCCATGATATTATTTTTAAACTTCCACAAAAATATCCAACTAAACTTTCAAATGAAGGCTGGAACCAACTAATATGTATATAAATATGTGGACATCTTTTAGGGCTTTTAGTTTTGTATTAGATGCATTACAAGCCATTGTTTGGTTTTCTTCTAAGTAATTTAGAACATTTAAAGCCCCAATTTTTATCGTACTTATAATATCAGCAGGTAATTTTAAGGAAAAATAGACTTTTCAGTCTTGAACCTTTTCATTTTTCTTTTTATATATGTTAAGTCTAGAAGACTCTTTACCTAAAATTACCCAAATTAACTAGGATGTGAATGTCTCTGTTTCATAGACTCCTAGAATGCTTTGGATTAGAAGGCACCTTAAAGATCATCTAGTTCCAACCCCATGCCATGGGCAGGGACACCTTTCACTAGACCAGCTCAAAGCTCCATCCAACCTGGCCTTGAACAGTTCCAGGAATGAGGCAGCCCACAGCTTCTCTGGGCAACCTGTGCCAGGGTTTCATCATTCTCACATACAGGGAATTTCTTCCTTGTATGAAATCTAAAACCATCCTCTTTTATTTAAAAACCATTGTTTTAAATTTGACCATTTTATTTAAAAAACATTTAAACCCCCCTTGTCCTATATATACAGGCCCTTGTAAAAAGTCTGTCTCTGTCTTCCTTATGATCCCCCTTTAAGTATAGAAAGGTCACACAGAACCTTCCTTTCAGCAAACTAAACAGCCCCAATTCTCTAAAACATCTCAGGGTGTTTCAGTTCAGAAACCTTAACATTGCCTGACTCGAGGATTTCAGCACTATTTGAAAAGTAGGCTGTCTTGGGGCATCTCAGTGGACAGTTAAGGAACACTAATTAGTTTTTTAGGTTTCTTATATATACTGGTGTGTAGGTATATATGTTTATGACTCAGGAGAAGCCAGAACTGTCTGAAGGCATTCAGTCTTTAATCTGGTTGTTTTAAGAAACTAACAAATGCTATGTTGGATCAGAACTTGTAGTCTCTGGCAGTGGTAGGGGACGAGAAGCACGAGCCAGTGGGTCTGTAGGGAGAATACTGGCCGGGTGGGAAAGGTTGAGCACTAGCCAAGGAGAGGCTGTAGAATCTGGTGATTAGCTTGTCAGTGGCAACTTTCTTCCATTTGAACCAGTAAACAACATGAAAAATAAATTAAAAGAAACCAATCAAGTGTCTTTAGGGAAGGGTGTGTAAGAAGAGTACATCGGACAGCACATTGTTGTCCACTTACCTTAGCATCCACAGCTGGGGCACTGGGGACATTAGCAGGTACATCTCTGCCCAACACAGCTATGAGGTATGGAAAATGGCTGTTGTGCAGAGTGGCAAAGAACAGATTTTGAAACATATATGAAATCTGTGGAAAGCTGACATCCAAATTCCTTTGAGAACACTGACTGTGTTACCTCATAGTCAAAGCTCAAGTGTGTTACTTCTTCCATCTCTTCCATCAGTGAACAGGCACTCCATGTGAAGTATGTTTTCGACATATTGTAGAGTCTGGTGTGTTTACCTAAGTTACTTCTGTCAGGCAGACAGGAGGGCTGGATGTAGTCATTTGAAACAGCCTCTGCAGATGAGAGCCACAAAATCCCAAATCAGCTCTGGTTTGGGGCATTTTAGTATTGTCAAACACAATTTCTGAGACCAGGGCATGGATTTTATTTAATTCTAGCAGAAGTGAGGAAATACCAGAAAGTTGTAAGAGTATCTAAATCTGACTCTCTGGTCCTAGAAATTACTTTACTGTGGTGACACTGGAGCTAACATCTGCCAAAGTCTCTGTAGGAAGAATCTTATGTCTAACATCTAATGTTTGGAGTTTTATCACTCACTTCTGAATATATCTACGTCTTTGGCTTCTTCCTCAAATACATCCCTATTACAAAAACTCTTGTTGCTCCCCATTGATTAACCAGTTTTGCACCTTTTCTACTACTGAGGGCATTTACTCAAAGAAGCAGCAGTGGAGGGTCATGTTGCCAGTCACCCAAAGTGACATTGCTGCTGGAGAGGGGGGGGGGTGGGGA